TACTTCGTATTCTTCTAGTCTAGCTTCTTACTTTAACGCGTTATACGTATATTCTTAAGGTTTAGCTAGACCTTATCCTTAACTCGAAATTTAGGTACTTATTATCTCGTACGATTAATAATCTCCTTTTACTCTTATTATACTACAGCTATTAAGGTTTATACCTATTCCCTAGCCTTCTATAACTATCGTATAATCTCGTCTACTCGCTATATAGGGCTATCGCTTAATCTCTTATCGTCTAGGTTTTCCGTTATTTATACGGACTCTATATAATATCCGTAGAATAGGAAGAAAGGACTAATACTAGTAGACTAAGTATTACGATTATTAATAGAGAGTTCGGCCGCTAGTATCTATCGTACCTAGTCGTCCTACGCGGTATTTACGAATATTCGTACGTATATTTCTATAGTTTAGTTTATTCTCTCCGTTAATCCGTCTATCTCCGGTATTATAATCCGAGCTACAAGTAGTTCTAACCAAGGTAGGGTTCCTTAATAGAGTAGGTACTAGAGTACTAACTAAGATAATAAAGGAAATACTTATTCGTCGGACTATATTCTAAAATATAGGTATAGAATTACTAACGAAGTTAACTACGAACTTATTCTATCTAGGTAAAGAAGCGTATATATATAATACTAGTAGCTCCCCTAGATCTTATAGCCCCCCCTAGATCTCTCGAGATCTTATAAGATCTAAGGAATCTAGGGAATTTAGCCTAGCCCGATTACCTAACTTAGCCTTATTCTCCATCGACTAACCTCCTTCCTTAGGTAGGTACCTTAATTTCCTTAGCGACCTTTTAAGTAACCTAGTTCGTAATACTATTCTTCCCTCCTTCTAGTCGTTACCCTTAACGTACTTAAGGCGAGTCCCTTCTATACTTTATTTTCTTCTTTCCCCTATAGCTAACTATATCGCCTATAGATATTATTAAGCGTTCTAAATCCTTTACTATTCGTCGTTAGCGTATCGCGCTTAAAATTAAAACCCTCGAAAGAAAGTACGAAAATATAGATCGCTATACTCCTTACTAGAATATAAATATCGTCTATTTTATATTAGACGATTATATACGATATAATAACTATATACGTAATAACCGAAAAGATTATAATAGAGTATTTTCTAATACTAAGTTTAAGGTTCTATTAGCTAAGCGTAGTCGTTTAGCCGAGGCCGCTCGCTAGAAAGGCGAGGAAATTCGTTAAAAGAGCGAGGAGATATAGTGTCTACTTTCCTCTATCGCTTAAGCTAATATCGAGCGTAAGCGCCTCGAGAAAGAAGTCGAGTAGCTACTTAAGAAATAAAAGAAAATAGTTATTTAGGAGGCTTATACCCTAGACGCGCTAGATTACGTCGATTTTCCGTCCTAAGCTTCCTCTACCGTTCTAGTAAATATAAATAACGCCTAGCTCGAAGATATTTTTAATTTATTACCGGATTCCCTAGCCTATTTCTTAGGTTCTATTCCTTTAAATTATTTAATAGTCCGGTAATACCGGGCTACGAATCTCGGATTAAGGTTTATCTTCGGTTCCTACGTATTTTCCTCCTCTAGGTATACTAACTATTTAATTAAATATTTTATTTAATTATTTTTCCGCCTATACTAGAGTATAGTTTCTATATCGTAATAGGGTTCTTAGGTTTCTTTATTAATATATATTAGT